TATTTGGAATTTGTGATGGTTGTGATGAGGTGAAGAGGTGTTGAAGGAGGGTTTATGAATTGTTGATGAATTATTTGTGAATTTTGTGATCATTGTGAATTAATTGCTCGTTTTTATGAATAATTCGATATTAATTGTTCATGTGATTATTTATTTATTTTCAAAAGTCTTTGTTCAAATTATGTTTCTCCATATCTAATCAATTTTATTTTTTTTTTTTATTTTTTTGTTTGTAGAAAATGACATCTTCGTCATCCACACAACCTCGTCGGTACAATGTACACCCTGGCCCGATAGATGACTCCCTTCTATATCTTCAGTACCGCCACAGTTCCAGGCGGTATTTGAAGATGTAGAAGGATATCGTAACGACACGGTTAAAAAACTGTCGTTACGACAATGAGTTCTGGCATGCCTTGGAAAACCAGCATGCCAGAGTTTGGGAGGTGATCGACCGGACGGGTTTCGGGCCACTGTTTCGAATGGGCCAGGTACAGACGGACAACAGCCTCATTAAATGTCTAGTGGAAAGATGGCGATCGGATACGCATACCTTCCACTTCGATTTCGGGGAGGCCACGATCACGCTCCAGGACGCCCAAGTTCGGTTTGGTCTCCCGGTTAGTGGAACTACTTGTTGGGGAGAGACTGTAGATTTAACACCCCAACAATGGCGAGACTGGTGTTCGGACTTGCTAGGACTTGAGCCCAAAGTCCAGGTATATTTTTTCCTACATTTTTTTTTTAATTTTTTTTTTTTTTGTTTATGTATACTCCATTATTTCATTTTTAATATATATAAATCACTCCCAGGATGAAAAGGACCCGGTGTACGACCCCAAAACTTGGGCCATTCAAGACCAATTTATGAAGATTAAGGGGTTGGAAGAGCAATGCAACACAGAGCTATCAGATGGAGAAAACAACGAAGTCTACGAACATAGGGTGAGGGCCCTTATACTGTGGTGCATTGAGTCCTTCTTCAACCCCGACCAGCGGGCCAATGGAGTCAACTGTCAACCTTTACTGGTTGTAGTTGTTGCATGAGATTGATGAGATTAAGGGCTACAACTGGGGTTCAACGCTCTTGGCCGGAGTATATAGAGTGTTGTGCACAACTTATAAGGCCAAGGAATCGTGGATCAAGAGTTGTGTGCAACTGATTCAGGTACATTTATTTACTTGTTATTTGAAAATTTATTTTTTTTATTCTAATTTAGAATAATATCTAATAACAAAAAATGCATATGTCAATATGTGTAGGTTTGGGCATGGAAACGCATACCTCGTCTTCTCCCGATAATGAAGTCCACGGACTTTGATTCTCAACGTGGTTGTCCCTTAGGTGCAAGGTAATCACATTTATTATTATTATTATTTAATATTTAGGTTATTTCCATTATCTAATTTTGTGATTACAAAGTGTTTTTTTTTCTGTGATTTTAAAGTGGGTGGGACGGAGGGACATGAAACACATAGACAAGGGAATGACCATTGTGCGGGATCAACTGACAGGGCTGAGAGAGGCAGATGTAAGATTCTTAAGTCGTATTGATTAATTTATCTTTTTTTTTAAAAAAAAAATTAATAACTTATTTCCTAAATAATTTTTTTTTTTTTAAGTTCGATTGGGTACCCTACCGTGAGTACATCGAGGTTGGTACTCTCCCGGACGAGTGTACAGAAGATCCACATGTCTGGATGTATAGGGGTGGATTTTCTGTTGGAACATCCGCGAACCCCACCTGCCTGATAGGGTCCTCCGTTAGTTTGGGTGTTGTCAGTCCATCTCCCAAACTCCGATCATTAAGGGTGAGGCCGAATGGGAGACACACCACCGAGGCCAGGGAATGACTAAGAGGGCATTTTCTGATTGGGCCGCCTTTCATTCGGAGCTTGGGAAGGCTTGAGCCGAAGAGAGAGACCAGAATGTCCTCCCATATCAACCTGTGGATCAATTCCTACAGCCTGAGGAGGGTCACATTGATTGATTTCACATTAGGACCGTGAGACTGATCAGTAACCCTACCAACCACACGGTGGTCCAACAGGACGGCAGCTATCAGCCAATTACCAACTGGAAAAAATGTGAAGTAAGTGTTCATAGTTTGTGATTTATTATTATTATTATTATTATTATTATTATTATTATTATTATTATTATTATTATTATTAATATTATTATTATTATTATTATTATTATTATTATTATTATTATTATTATTATTATTATTATTATTATTATAAAACGCATTTCAGGAATGCGTTTTATAATTAAAACATAATTGTAAATTTAGTTTTAATTATAAAACGTATTTCGATAATGTGTGTTTTTTTAATTTAAAACGTATTTGTAATATACGTTTAATTTTAATTTAATTAAGTTTAATTAACTTAATTACGTTATTTAATCATTATAACCTAAACCGTAATCGGGAAATACGTCTTATAAGCTAAACTGTATTATGAGAATACGGGTGTTTTATTTTTGTCCACCCACTTTTTTTTTTTTCTTTTTGTCCACTTAATTTTATTTTTTTTGGGTTTGAATAAATAAATCAGTAACTAGCGCAAAATTACACTCTTGCTTCTAAACCCTCGCCTTTAAATCTTCAGACCTCGCTTCCTCCAATTTCCAACTGTCGGCCTTCCAGAGTTGCCGTCGAGCTTTGCCGGTGTTCGCCGGCCCTTGACCCCCTGGATTCCTGCCCCTTCTTTTCTGCTCTGCTACCTGTTTCCATGGCGCTGAGCCCTAGCGATGGCGAGAGGTCTCCGTCTTTTTCCGGATCCGATTCGTCAATTCAGGGTGTCGGCTTCTTCGTTGGGTGGTGGTGGAGCCGTGGTGCGGTTCCAGGGGCGGGACGCTACTTAATTGCTAAAAGCCCTTTCGGGTTGGGTAGTTGGGGCGTCGATGATGTTCGATGTTGTTCTTCCGGTTCTCGACTTCTGTTTTGCAGGGGTCTCCGTGTCCAGTCTTCAGCCAATGGTGTTGGTCGGAGTGGTGATGCGGCGGGCGGTGACTTTGGACAGCTTCCAGGCGGGTTGGGGTTGGGGCTAGCGCGGCGGTATCCTTTTTCCCTTTCGAGGCAATTAGGTGTCGTGGTCGTGGTGCGGGGTGGCTTAGTGTAGTTTCGGGGTTCGAGTTTCGACACTGTTAGGCAACCGACTGGTTTGGGCAGTTTCGGTGTCGGTTCTTCTAGCTTCGGGATTCATAGTCGCTTTGTATCCATTGGTTCGGTTAGATGTCGCTTCTTTGGAAGGGCTCGTTTTTTTTGTTACCTTTTTTCTGTTTTGTTTAGTAGTTTCGTTTTTTATTTGTTAGGTTGTGTTGTAATTGTGTTTTTAGTCTGGGTCATTTGGCCCCTGTGCGCCTGAGTGTCAAATTTATTATTCTGTTGGGATCCAACACTCAGGTATTCTCCTATTTGGAGTCTTTTAGTTTTTAGTTTCCAGTTTGTGTTGGTGTAGTTGGTTGTTTTAGTTGAGTTTTTTGTTATTCTAGCGTTGCTAGGTTAGGGTTTAGGCGATCTATGAATCTGCCTTCCAGTTTTATCAGTCTTCAGTTGTACTATACAGCCTTTGGCTGCTTCTCTTCGGACGTTATGCGGTTTTTATTAATATAGTACCTCTATCGTTTCGGGAAAAAAATAAATAAATCATCCCTATTTATTATTCCCGAATGCACTGATCCTATGTGGCTGTTTCTGGTGCTTCTCATACTTGGCAAATATTCATGCTTCGTATTTAGGTTTGGACAAATAATATTGATATATTAATAATTAATAATCTAAGTTTGGACATTCCATAAATATTATTTAGCTAACTTAGGTACTTTAATATAAATTTTACTAATATAACTCTTTAATTCTTTGTAATTTACATAGTGAGACACTAAGTGACTAATATATCCATGAGTTCTGATTTGTTTCCTTCAATTAACTATTGAATTGTAAATGTATTTTAAAAGTTGATAACTTTTATATTTCTTATCGGTTTTACATATATAATATATCAAATTAATTATCATTTGATGATCTTCGATCCGACATCCATATTGTATATATGAAATAAATAAATCATATTTATCTTTATAATAATAAAATATAATAACATTTATTAAAATTCATTAGAAAAATAAAATTATTTCTCAATTGGTTTATTTATGTTTAATGTAGTTATATGTTGTAAGTCAAAAGATATTATAATATAATACCGATAAGTCGCACAAAAAAAAGTGTCATGCTGAATATACAATAATATATATATATATTTTTATAAAAGGTATTGAAATTTCATTTACTTTTTTTCATTAATTTTAGATTTTAATAAAAAATTAACAAGCACCCGTGTAATACACGAGCATTATACTAGTAAATAAATAAATTAGTAATAATGGGCGGGGAATAGATAAAATCAAGGACATATTGGTAACTTCATAAGATGACACGTGTTGGCCTCTATAGTAAGACAGATAAATAGTGAACAGTCATACCTATAAACCGCCGTTCCCTATTATCAGTGCCTCCTCAGTGACCGGAATCCCTCACGGCCCGAGTTCTGCAATCTTACTGCCTCTCACGCCGCCTCAGTCCCCGGAATCTCACTGCCACTCCCGCAGCTGTCCGGCCGGAGTCTCCAAGTCCCGTCCCTCTGCAACTCTCCGCTTCAGGTATTTTGATGACTGAGTTGATGTGGGTCAATTGAAATGTTGTCTCAAAATCTGAAATTTGCAGATGTAAATGTAGAAATATATATGTGTTCCCGTAGCCGTAGCGTATTAATTGTTGTCTGAAGTCTGAACTTAACATGTTTATTCATTCATGAGTTTGTCCTTTGTTTAATTCTACTGTTCTGTTAATTAAACTGCTACCATATTTTTGGGCCGGCCAGCCCGCCTATACCCGCAGCTGGCCGGGGTGGCTTTTTATCGTCCCTCCAACCTTGTCAGTCCATTTTTACATGTCTAACTACAGATGCTGTGAACAGGCTGCAGCAGAGAAATGTCTGCCATATTTCGTTCTTCCGCATCCAAGCTCCGCTGCTTAACGATCTCCACCCTCTCCTTGAAGCCATTGTCAAACCTCTTCCACTCGTCTGCCACCAGAGCCCCACCCACCACCACCCTTTTCCAGCCCCAGCTGAGCCTGCTATTCCGCAGACCCCAGAAATTAGGGTTTCAAGAGAGGCACAAATGGGACGGAAGCTCAGATAAGTACGATCAAATCAAGGCCGAGGTCAACTGCCCCCGATGCTCCAAGATGATAACCGTGCTCTTCTCCAACCGACCTCTCTCCATCACTGCCACCGAGAACGGGATTTACCAGGCAGTCAGCATGTGCTACAATTGCCGGACGGCCTATTATTTCCGGCCGTTCAAGCTGGAGCCACTGCAGGGGAGTTTCATAGAGATTGGAAGGGTTAAGGGTGGGAGAGAGAATTTTGCGGACGTGGAGGGCAATGGCATGGGGAAAGGTGGAAAAAATGGGGTTAAGATTTGGGAGAAGTTAAAGTCGTATGGTTCCGGTGAGATTAATGCAAAGAGAGGTGATTCTGATGTTGATGGTGATTGTAATGCGGAAGGAAACTCAGAGGGAAAGAGTGCAGGGGTTGTGGAGGAGATGGTTAAAGTAGGGAAGGAGTTGCCAACTCCAAAGGAGATATGTAAAGTGCTCAATGAGTTTGTTATTGGGCAAGAGAAGGCAAAAAAGGTTTGTTTGTTTCTGGCTGAGTTTATGTTAGGAACTTGTTTGGGGGTGCGAAACTTTGTGGGGTTAGTTTCCGCTAGATGGCACCACAATGGATGGAATGTGCCTTTAAAAATGTATGTGCTCTGATTTGTGCAAATATGGTGTGTGCATTATCAATCTTGAGGTTCCATATTATTGCTAGCCTGCCATGAGGTGATTGCTAGCAAATTTCAGTACATAGAATGGTTAGTTGATTGGAAAACAATGCAGCTTATAGCTATTCATCTGTTCCATTACTTGTAAAACCTATGTGTATACCTATGTGTATACCTAAGTTGAAATTGTTTTGGATACTCTAGAGAACTGTCAGTTATGAGGTTATTGTATATGTCTTCTATTTGAATGTCAAACTTCTCGAAGATCATGCTAGGGTGCATATTTTCTTAACTTGAAGAGATTATTTATGCTCTGAACCCTTTTACTAATAATAATAAAGCTAATGAATTGAATTTATTTTTTTTAGTACTAATATGTATCATATATTACATAGTTTATGATTTGATAAGAGGTGTGATGGAGACACTCTTCTGTGACGTCCTCCTACCGATGAAATATTTCTCTTGTTTCATGAATTGTTGGACATTCAATATATGGAGTTTCATGAGTTTATTCACATGGCAGGTGCTTTCCGTTGCTGTTTACAACCACTACAAAAGAATTAATAGCCCATTGGTGCAGAGCCAGTGAGTAACATACCTTTATATCTAGTTCCTTCAAGGAAATTGTGATTCTTTTGTGTATGTGTGTGCGCGCGCTGATCTGCCATTATTATCCAGTATAAAAATTTGAATGTGCAAGCATATCACTTGGTTTCTGTACTATGATTTATTTTGCATTCAATGACTTAAGAACATACATAGGTGATGTCACCTTGCAGATAAATATTTCTCTTGGTGGATTTTTTTCCTGTTTCATAGAGGATGCTTTTCAACTTATTGACGATCATTGAATTATATTTTACTCTCAGGTCAGGTGCTAAACCAGACTGTGCTGTCACTGAATTGGATTTTTCCAGTGACGATGTTGTTGAGCTGGAGAAGAGCAATGTCTTATTGATCGGCCCAACTGGTTCAGGCATGATGCATGTTTTGGTTTTGTAAACACTTGAATATAATGCTTTTGGTCAGAGTGGCAGCAGTTCTGTCTTTAGGGGGTACAAAATTAATCATTGCGCTATTATGATTTATGTATCTCTCATTTCTTGAAGGACAGGAAAGACACTTCTTGCTAAAACATTAGCTCGTGTGGTTAATGTCCCTTTCGTCATTGCTGATGCCACGAC